CCATCCAGTGGTCTCTTGCTAGCAGAGGCCAGTACCATGTGTTCAACAAGGGGACAAAGACACTTGGAACCTGCCCTAAAACTTTTTGCCTCATCCTCACTAGCTGAAGGTAGAAATTTTTCCTAAAGCAAAAGGTTTTTTAGCATGTAGCATATAAATCTAGCAAAATTTTTTTAGCAAACGTGGCTGTAGCATACATATAGAGGTATGAGTATCATGTGAGCGTGCAAAAGCTCCAGCACCAAGTGCATTAGCTTGATGTAGCTTGAATTACAGTTTTATTACCCACTGGCTTGCTTTGCATGAAACCCAGCGTTCATGTGAAGAAAAAACATACTGAAATGGGTTGCTAGTACTTTCACTAATATTTTGCCCAATTGGTTCATCAGTTAAATTGTTCTGTGCATTCACTGGGGCTGTGATAATTCCACTTCATTATACTTGAATGCAATTAGGGCTGCTGTAGCTGTCCTGGCACGTGGCCTGCGTGCTGGGTCTGGCTGTGTTCTTTTTGAGAACAATGGCACCATTCAGTCTGGTTTCTAATCCTGTGGCTCATCTCTCTGGAGTAGGGCATTCCACCTTTCCCTCCTTTTTCCCTCCATTACTGTCTGCTGAACATCTTTTTATAAACCCTGGCTGTTTATAACCAATATGGTAGCACTGCCAGTGTAAGAAACAGTGCCGTTCCTCCGTGATCTTCAGCAGCAGCAGGGATACCAGATCCTGCTCCCCGTCAAAGTGCTTGCACAGTTGCTAAGCCTGTTTAGTTCCCTTCTTCAGCCAGTGGCCTTTATGCAACTTTCTCCCTGCTTTCCATTGAGCAATCTTAAATTGAAGGGACAAAGCCCCCTGTTTATTCAGTTCGTCATCTTCATGGACTAAGACCTGTTGTGTTTGCAAAATGCCAAGGACTGCTGTTCCCATGACTTCCCCCATCTCTCTGTCTTGAAGGAAATATGCTTTCTTTTCTTTGCCACATGCTTGCTACTTGGTGTGACCAATTTAATGATTTCTGCCTCCCTCTTGCTTTGCCTTCTTGTCCTCCCAGGCCTGAAGCTAGATAAACACCAGTGGGAAGGTTGAGCGAGGCGGCACAGATTTTAGTTCCAGTCTTGCATTTGGTCCCTGGGATGGTCTCTCTGAGCAAAAGTATTCCTCTGTGTGGAGACAGATGTTTGCCAGCCTGAAAATACAAAGCACAAAATCTCTGGTGAGATGCAAAATATCAAGTGCAGTGTCCTGAATCTTACACAGAGCTGAATGAAACTTTCGGGGTTTTTAAGCAGTGACAGCAGTTACAAGCCCAGAGTGATGTGCTGGTGATTTGGTAAAACATGTGTATAATGTCCAAAACCGCGGGCTTCAGAAACCTGCAGTCTTCATTGACTCCCAGCTCTCGCGATGTGACTGGCACATGCCATCAGCACCCTTACGGAGAGCCGCAGGGACGCTGGGCAAAAATCTGAGAGATGAGTAGTGAAGGTTGAGCCATCTGTAATTCACTCTTAGTCTCAAGAGTCTTTGCCTGGGAACTCCTTCTGCTGGGGAGTGAAATGCCTGTTCTGTTAGCAAACCTCTGTGGCGCTTCCCATCATGGACCAGGGATGGTAATAAGTCTTCCATGGATGAGAGAGACATTGCTGTCACCTGTGGGGCTCTTTGAGAACCTGGGCAGAAAACGTGTGTGATTTTTAAATAGCTCTCATCAATGTTATGCAATGTTCACGTCACGTCTGGGCAGTAGCCTCTGCTGGCTGTGTCAGTAGGTACCTCGAAGGCTTGCAGTCCAAACCTAGGGCCCTGTATATCCACATCGATCTCATCAGCAGGGAGCTGGGATGCTTAATTTTTCGTTTAAAAATGTGCAGGAGTAGTTCTGTGGATTGGGAGCGTTACCCCTTTGGCCTTGGCACATTTCTGTGGAAGCACAATACTAAACCTCTGTCCTTTCTGCTGAACTGCTAATTGAATGCGCTTCAGTGTGCGGATTACAGGACTGCGAGACGGCCAGAGCAGATGCCAGCAGCTTCTTGAGAGCTTCTCATACCCTCCGATGAGAACAAGCTGACACTGCAGCAGGAACTCAGAAGTTGGAGACCTGTGCAATGAATGCTCTTAACCCTACTAACCCCGAGACGGATCTTCTCATACAGCAGACTTCCGAGAGTGCTAAGCTCACTCAATGCTACGTTTCATAATTCATGAGCGTGAACAATATTAGCAGGCTGTAGGTTTTGAACCGTTCTGACCTTTGTATGCACAGACTCTGCTCCTAACAAAGGGCTTGCATCAGTTGGCAAGAAGTCTTTGATACAGGATATTGGTGAGAGGAAATAAAGAGTGCAGGGAGCAGAGGAAGATTAGGGGCAGGGCTGCAGCCTTATGCTGAAAAGAGCTTTTGACCCCTCCAGCCTATCACTTGCGTTGTGGTAAAGATTATGAACATGTTTGCAAACTGTGCTACAATTTAAGCTCATGAGTGTATATAATGTTTGCTCCATCCTTTAATTTTTTTATAACTAGTAAGTCGTTATGCCCATGTATCAGTTACAGAGCATAATCCCCATTTATGGATGGGGAAACTGAGGTGATTAATGCTGTGTCTCATCCAGGTCTCATCCAGTCCTCATGGGAGGGCACAAGGAACCTCGAGAGCCTGCACGGCAGCGCTGTGCCTGAACATCTCTGGGTGCGCTTCTGTTTTTGAAAAAACACTCCATCTGCTAAAAAGCACCAAGAAAGTCTTACGCATACACTGGCTGGCAAAATTACAAATCCTATATTCCTCAAGTTCGTGGTCTGTTTTAGTAGCTCTTTATTTTTTTAAACCGACTAATTCTAGTTAAAGCATGAGATAAGCTTCCTAAAAGTTAATGTCAGCTGAAATTTTGGAATTAACTCTATACTTTTTGTATAGTATGGACAAAAGAATTATGAGACAGATTGTATATTTATTAAATCATTAACCTAAAATAAGAATCTCAAAACCTCAAATAATTTTTGTTGCCACAGTTACGCAGCGTTCACTGCAGAATGCAGATTTGTTGGTGCTATAGGAATAGCACACTTTTTCCCTTTAAAATAATTACGGCGGAAGAAGGACCCAGAAAACAAATGCAAACCCCCATCAGTCTATGGGAATAATTATGCCAGTGAACACGAGGGATCTGGTTCAGTTCGCTGGTGCTCCATTTTTACGCCAATGTAGTTGTGCTGGCAGAGAGGCAGTGCCTCGGGCGTGCGAGTGTGGAGCGGCCGTGCCAGTCCTGGCTCCCTGGCACACGGGGTTTCAGATGGAGCACTGTCATCAGAAGTTGCACCATCCAGCTTTTCGTGATGGAGTGCAAAAGCTCACTCGCGGCAGTGTTTTGTAAACACCGGTTTCTGAGCAGCACCAGTTCCCCATGGCAGATATCCCTCCTTTGCAGTGCTGTAAGAGATGAGGAGACAATTGGCTTCTGAAAAACAAGTGTATTGGAAGAGCAGGAAAACATGTGTGGTTGTGAAAACTGCTCTGTCGGGGTAGATGACTGCACTTACAGGAAGCCCTGTGCAGCTCATTCACATGTGGTGGGGTAGAGCAATATTGGCCTGTCCAGAGCAGCTTGTCTATCGCTGTGTGTTGCATTAAATAATCAGGCTGACTAGGATAACTGTGCTCATTGAGCGAGGAAGGAAGTGCTTATTCTTCCAGCTGGACTCCAAGTCTCCCTTGAGAGGTCGCGTTTATGAAGAAGGAGCCCATCCGTTACAAATTAATGCCTTAATAGTTAGTCAAATTTGGCAACACCCCTCCCCTCCCCCTCAGGTTTCCTCATCCAACTCTTGCTCCACAGGAGGAAGGTTTCAAACAGAGCTCGGTGGAGGATTTCTCGGTTTCTGCAGAGCTGCTCTTGGGTGCATAGAAAACTGGTGCTTGAACCAACACCTAGAAGCTTGTTTTCTCTCAAAATAAATACTGCATTCTGCCACCTCTTCCTAATTTTGTTTTAAACTTATAAATCAAGCACCAGTTGCTCTCACAGGAGAGGTAAAAACTGAAATTCCTGATGTTTTTCCCACCTCTTTGCATCTTCTTTCCCTGGTTCCCTCTTCTATCAAGAGTACCTAACAAGCTATTTGTCTCCACTTACAGGGCTTAGCCTTTATTTGTTCTCCTGCGACAAACTGCCACAGATGCTTTTGGATGCTGAGATGGTAACGGTTAGCCCACTTAGGGCACTTTTTGCAGGAGGCAAGCTGAACTACTGAGTCTTCAAAACCTGAATTTGGTCATGTTGATTCCTGTCTTGCTCAAGCCCGCCACATCCTTATCTCTTCTGATCCTTCAACTGCAAGTTCTTGGGGACCAGGAGGGGTCTTATGTTGTGGCATTTTGGCAGGGTCTGTTACTGTGGGATTTGGCAGGGCATATCATGTGGCCCATTCTTGGCATTTCGATGAAGAAGTGACACAAAAGAGAAACAATCTCAGAAACATTAACTTCTTAGGAGAAAAAAAAGTACCTTTTTAGTTATGTAATTTGCAAATGACAATCTTGGGATGTCTGAAAAGTATCTTCAACTGTAGGTGTGAATGTACATTATCAATGTTTTCTTTTCAAAATGCGTAGGTTGACTGCTGCTTTCCTTGACACTGCCAGTTTCTGCTACCATATGTTCTCCTTTTGCAAAACCTTTAGCACTCTTAACTTAGCTTAATGTAAACAGATGATGCTGTGTCTTATATTCCAAAATGCTAAGGCTGTAGAGACACCATCTGAAATTGTGTTTGTGTGACTGGTCTTTCCTAAAACCTGCTGGAATTTCTGCCTACCCCATCTTTCCTTCCAGTTGTTTGTCTTCAGAGGAAGAAGAGATGAGGGATTTCCAGTGCCAGACAAATTGGGATTGTGAAGAAATGTGGTGCGACCTCAGTGTTTCGGGTTCGGTTGGTGTCTCCAGAAGGTTAGGCTTGACCAGGCTCTTCATCTCACGCAGTCTCTCTCTTGCAACTAGGATGTCAACGCAGGCGAGGGGAGCGAGTTCACCGACAGTGGGATTGAGGGAGCAGCCACCGACACCGACCTCCTTTCTAGGCGCTCCAATGCTACCAACTCGAGTTACTCCCCGACTGCCAGCCGGGCTTTCATCGGCAGCGACAGCGGGAGCAGCTCGACGGGCGATGGGCTTCGCCAGGGGGTGTATGAGAACTTCCGCCGGGAACTGGAGATGAGCACCACCAACAGCGAGAACCTAGAGGAGGCAGGCTCTGCCCTCAGCGACGAGCAGAGCAGCGGCACTCTCAGCTCTCCGGGGCAGTCCGACATCCTCCTGACGGCCGCCCAGGGCACGGTGCGGAAAGCCGGTGCTCTGGCAGTGAAAAACTTCCTGGTGCACAAAAAGAACAAGAAAGTAGAGTCAGCCACCCGCAGGAAGTGGAAGCACTACTGGGTTTCCCTGAAAGGTACAGAGCAAGCGCTCAAGGGTTTGTCCAGATGTACGTCCGTGGTGGCCTGTGGGTTGTGTATTGCAGCAGATGAAGCAGCCAATGGCCTAGGCTCTTAAAAAAAGCTGCTGTGAACTGCAGCATGAGTAACAGCAAGTATAACAAAGTGGTCATGATGTTTTTCAGAGTGGGCTTTTATTTGGTGGTTGTTGATGTGCTCACGTTATGGCATGTGTGTAGTCAAAGACGCATGACAATGCTGCACCAAAGTAGGGTTCATACCCTGCTTCCAGTCCTGCTGGCATTGTCTGGGGCAGCTTCTCCAAGCACTGGATGTTTCCTTTAAGCAGCATGTCTGTGGCTTCATTCTGTGGCTGAACACGTCTGCATTCAAGCAGCGGCTCCATCTTTGTGTGCATTCCTCTTGTGCGTAGCGCCATCGGCCTCTCCTCCTCCAAAATGTGTTTCAGAAGCAAAAACACACAGTGAGTTGCAACAAGTTGACAGTGGACAGGAAGCTGTGGTCTGGTCGTTGAGGCTGGCTTGTGACTCGGGACTGTGTCACGCATCTGGTGGTGAGCAGCCCACAGCACACAGCTGCCCTGCCGGCCTCCTTGGCCTCTGAATTTTTACAGTGGCTGCTAGGAGGGTGCTCCAGTCCCGTTCGGGGTCTGAGTGCTTATAAATGCACAGAAATGTTAATGGAACAGTGAATCACAGGAACTGGCCTCCTGAAGTGACCCCTAATTAATCTTCATGAAGCAGCAAAGTGGAGAGCAGTGCTTGCAGGGTTTGGGGACTGGCGTGGCTCTCCTCCACCATGTCCGGCTTCATCTGTGAGCCAGAGGAGGCAGAGCCATGTCTCCTGCTGTAGGTGGGGTTACCAAAAAGCTCTATTTTGCCTGCAGAGCACTTTTTTTAGAGCATTATTTTATTTTTTTTTTAATTTGCAGCACTGTTTTAAAACCATCAGCCAAATTAGATGCCGGCTCTTCCTTGGGGTGGTTAGAGAGATTGGGGAAATGCAAGAGGAGAGAAAGAGGGCTTCGGGGCAGGGGGTAGCCCTAATCTCCTCCGAGGAGGGGGCCTGTGACAGGAAGGTCTTGCTGTGAGAAGCAGGCAAACAAAGGGCCATCTGGGAGGGAAAAGGGGAAGGATGAGCACGGAGGCAATGTTATTTTGAAGTGCTTTGACTCAAATAAAGTGTTTGCTCCTTAGATTGCTGTGTCTTAATGATGTTAGTGTTTAAACGAGGCTTTGAAGTTAACAGCTGTTATTGTTTGGCTGCAAATAGTTTTCTGAGAGGCTGGGTAACAGGGCATCCCTTTGCACAGAGAGGGCTAGTGCCAGTGGCAGAGAAACAATGTGCCCGTTTCAGCTTAAAACAACTGTAGATAATTGGGAGAGAAGGAGACCCTTTTTTTGGAGTCTCTCAAATTGCAGACTTGCTATACCTTTACCCCTCAAGAACTGTAAAGGTGAATTTTTAAAACCAAGCAGGTTGTTTGCGGTCTCCAGCTAAAATGCATTTTTGTTTTTGGCTGTATCGCCATGGGTCAGAGCTGACATGTTATAGCAGAATAAGGATTTGCTTTATGCTTTTTGTTTGTTGTTGTTTTCTTTTGTACATCAGTCTTTCAGTGAGCACAGCTCATTGCGGTCCATTTTTTCTCACAGTTACTCATCTGCATCCAATAATTACATGACTTGATCCTTGCCTTGTGGGGACCGTAGCACTGAGCAGCTGCAGGAGGCTGAGGCAGGGCTGTGGAGGTTGCCAGGGCCGGTGGGCCAGCTCGCAGCTGCCCGGTGTGCCAGGGGAGACACGCTGTCATGCCTGTGCCTTCCCTTTGGTCCCCTCAGTGGGACAGGGTGGCCATGGAGGACCCCCATTTTGGGACTTACGATGATGTTTATTTTCTGGGGCTATATTTTACTGCCCGTGACTTTCTCAGCTTGTGTCTGCAGCTCTTTAGCAGTTGTAGAGCAAATAAAATGGCTCTGCTGGTGCACCATACAGCTTGTGTCATGCCCCCATGGCATGGAAATCACCATCTTGTCAGGCCAACTGAGCCACTGCTGGTGCTCTCGTCTGTGGGGCTGAAAACCTGAATGGGCCCTGGCAAATCCTCCCTCATCCCTGTGACAGTTTTATGGATGTTTTATAGTCCCAAGTATTAGCGTTGAATAGATGCAGGGTGGCTGTTGCATTTAAATGTGTTGCTTGCTAATATACGATCGTCTCTTTTAGGATGCACGTTGTTTTTTTATGAGACTGATGGCAGATCTGGTATTGACCACAACAGCATCCCAAAGCACGCTGTCTGGGTGGAAAACAGCATAGTGCAAGCGGTACCGGAACACCCCAAGAAGGACTTTGTCTTCTGCCTCAGCAACTCCCTTGGGGACGCTTTCCTCTTTCAGGTTGGTCCGGTTTGAGGGTTTTACAAAATCCTCTTTTTCTTTCTCTCCTTCAACCCACCGACCAAGGTGGGAATCTTAGCTCTGGTTCAGATCAATGGAAAAACCCTGCTGACTCCAATAGGTTTGGGATTTTCCGCTGGCAGTGCAAGAGAAAGGACACAATGTATTTGGTAAATGCTGCTCAAGAGACCCACCACCACATGTGAATCACTGTCAGATCCACTGTTTTTATTGACTGGCTGGACCCTCTTTGTGTAGGTGGTTGGAACAAAGTAAGAATTAAGAAGTATCCTTACATCCTTGTAAAAACTGGCAATTTTGCATGGTCTGACAGTGTGCTTATAACACACAGGCCAGGCCAGTTACCATAGAGAACATACAGCAGTGCATTAAATGTGCTGTAACACTTACTGACTCAAAGGAAGTGATGCTGGTGTTTGTCTTGAAGAGACTTGAGTACCTGATACTGAAAAAACCCCACAGTATTTTGCAGACTAGCTTGTCTGCTACCTCAGTCTGATTTTTCCTCAGCTCACAGTGTAATACTGCATTGCCTCTTTCTATTTCATGCCTTTCCTGAGCAGGGTACGTGTTTTTTGCCACCTGGGGAGCTTCATCCAGGCAGTAAGCATGGTGCTTATGGTCTCAGCATGCGCTTGAAAGGCCGTGGAGCACCACCTCCTCCTGATCTACTGATACGAGCTGTAAAATATTTTCCATGCAGTTTTCTAAGGAAAAACCTTCATTCTCATAAAATTAATGTCAGTGAATGCTAAATACTGAAAAGGTCATGTTCAGTACATTTGTTTTTGTAGCGACACAGGGCCCTCATTCATTAAAATTATACCATGTGTCATTATGCCATGGGTAGATTTTCATGTAGCTTTGTGAGAAAAAGCAGAAACGGGCCTTTTCAAATGAAAAGCAATCATTTATATTCCCTTGCAGAAATTTTTCCTTGGTGTGTCCCTTCTGCCATAGAACCCATGCATCGCTAGTGAAGCAGAAGAGAGAGAAGGACTGGGTTTGAGGAGAAGGGAAGGAAACCAGCTGCAGTGGTGGAAGTAATGTGCGAGTGACTGTGCTGTAGGGCTTGCTCTGCTGTGCACAGAGCAGCTGGCGCACGTGTACGGCTGTGCAGCAGCGTTACTTAACTGCTCATGTCATACGCGTCCGTCCACACAAAACACAGTGCTGTAGTAGCAGTTTTGATGAGAAGAAACCACGGATCTGGAGAAGACGATATCTGTCCTATGGAGACTGTGTACTCAGGGAGAAAAATAGGCTTGCTTTGTAATGTGTACGGATATTGGACATCTTGTAACAAGCCTTCCCACTGCAGTGCACCTAGAGGCATCACATACCTCCTACACGATGATTCCTTGCTCAGTCAGTTCTTGTCATGCCTACACAAATCCATTACTTGCAGATGTCACATGCATCTTCCAGGAACTCAGAGCAACTTGTGACACCTCATACTTATGTATCAGATGTTTGTAGCTTGTTTATATGGTCCTTTCTGTTGAGAAGTGGAGTGATTCCCCTTGCCTACTCATCTACCAGAAAAGTCTTAAGCTCCTAAAATCTAAGCCATATTATTTTTTACCTTCTATCTCCCCAGAAAACTGAAAATAAAACTGAACCTAATGGCATACAGATAATATTTTTAAATTTAATAAGAGAAAAATATGACCTCTTGCTGTTATTATATTGCTAGGAATTTACAAAACATACCATCTCATTTTAGATAATAAGAGCTAAACTGAGGAAGTGTGGTCTAGGTGATCGGGCAGTGAGGTGGGTTGGGAACTGGTTGAAGGAAAAAAGTCAGAGTGTTGTGGTCACAGAGTCCAGTTGGAGGCCTGTATCTAGTGGAGTCCCTCAGGGGTCAGTACTGGGACCAGCCCTGTTCAATATATTCATCAACGACCTGGACAAGGGAACAGAGTGCGCTGTCACCAAGTTTGCTGACGACACAAGACTGGGAGGAGTGGTGACACTCCAGAAGGCTGTGCTGCCATTCAGCGAGACCTGGACAGGCTGGAGGGCCTGCACAGGGCCACAAAGATGAGGGAGTGGAGCATCTCCATTATGAGGAGTGGCTGAGGGAGCTGGGTCTCTTTAGCTTGGAGAAGAGGAGACTGAGGGGTAATCTCATTAATGTTTATAAATTTGTAAAGGGCGAGTGTCAGGAGGAAGGAGCCAGGCTCTTCTCTGTGTTGTCCAGTGATAGGACACGGAGCAATGGGTGCAAGCTGGAGCACAGGAGGTTCAACCTGATTATGAGGAAAAACTTTTTCACTGTGAGGGTGACAGAGCACTGGAACAGGCTGCCGAGAGAGATTGTGGAGTCTCCTTCTCTGGAGACATTCAAAACCCGCCTGGACATGTTCCTGTGTGACCTGGTCTAGGTGATCCTACTCTGGCAGAGGGTTGGACTGGATGATCTTTCGAGGTCCCTTTCAACTCCTACCATTCTGTGATTCTGTAAGTCCAGTGCTACTCTCCTCTCTCCTGGGGGCTAGGTTTTACCACCTGACTGTAGGCAGAGTGTCGCCCATTCTGCAAATAATTTATCTATTTTCATCAGAAAAAAGGGGGCTCAACATGTCTTCAGCAGTGGTGATGAGACATTGCAAGCCCCTATCTATGAATGAGAGCTTGTTAATGTTATTACCTGGGCAGGGAGCCTGACAAATTTAAGCAATACATTTTCTACAGTGCCAGCTGAAGACAAGAAAATTGGGAGCAAGAGATTGATCTTTCCAGTGTAGGCCCTGTATTCTGCTTAAGACTTCTACTCTGAGCTAAGAAAAGCGATGTCATTCTGGGACATGTATGCTTCACCTCCTTCAGTACCACAGAAGTTTTGGGAGCATCAGCCTGAAGTCTGTGCATATGTGATTTTCAGAGTCTGGCTTCTGTGGGGATCTCTGCTTGGCTTCAGTAAGCCATGTCCTTTGCTGTTAGTTGTGACCGCCAGGAGAGCAGTGAGGATGACCTTCTTCATCTTTGCTGGCAACTGGAGTAGTCATACTGCGTTGCCTATTTATAGAACAGGTATCATCACAAAGTTTAATTAGAACAAGGTGGTTTGGCATCTTGCTACTTTTTCATCCACGAGCCAAATACCAGTGTGATTACTGCTAAAGGCTGACACTCAGTGAAAGTCTGCTGCAACCCTGAGTTGGCTGTAAATTTCATTTTACAACTGCTGTAAAAAGGAATGAAGTTTAGTAAAAAGGCTAAGTAGATTTACTTTTTATTTTGAAAGCCTGGAAAAGGAACGCTTTGAAATATTCTTCTTTCTGTGTCAAAAGCCTCTAATCAAAATAATGCTCTTCCAGAAAAATGTACTGGTGTCCCATGCCCCAGCCTAGTATCTCACAGAATCACAGAGTGGTTTGGGCTGGAAGGGACCTTAAAGACCATCCAGTCCAACCTCCCTGCCATGGACAGGGATACCTCCCACCAGACCAGGTTGCCCAAAGCTCTGTCCAACCTGGCCTTGGACACTTCCAGGGAGGGGAGTTGTTCCCTGTTCCCGAACTGTCACACACATGTTTGGGAAGGGACAGTGCCAGAGGTGTAAAAATTACGATGAGCCTGCCTTTAATGATAACAGCATTGTTTTGAGAGTGCTTTTTGGGACCTTTGAAAGAGGAAAGCTTGTTTGTCTATGAATCATAATAAAGCTACTCATAGATGTCATGATCACATTTTATGCCATTAATTTTTCACTAACTGCTGCATGCCAAAATGTTCTCCATACTGTGAGGAGCACAAAAACTGGTACATTCGCTGCCTTAAGGAACTGGGAGTTTAGAAAACGTCGTTAAATGCTGAGCTACAAATTATGGCAGCATTGCATTGAACAAGGAAGGTAATTCCTCAGACCTTGCTGGGAGACACTGTACAGCTGCAAAGCACAGATATAGGTGTAATTCGAAGTGCCGAACGCCCAGTGCTGGGTTAAAAATGGCCTGCTTAAGAATGATGGGGTTTTTATTACTTCTTGCGTAAGTGGATTTAAGGCTTTGAATCTTAAGATCAAAGGGAAAGGAAAGTCCTTGGAATTGCATTTGTTAATCTCCCATCATTTTTAAAGAGGATCCTGACTTCTTTTTCCCCCTCTCATTTTCTTCAGACCTCTAGCCAGACCGAACTGGAGAACTGGATCACTGCAATCCACTCAGCTTGTGCGACCGCGGTGGCAAGGCAGCATCACAAAGAGGACACTGTCAAGCTCCTGAAAACAGAGATAAAAAAGCTGGAGCAGAAGATCGATATGGATGAAAAGATGAAGAAAATGGGTGAAATGCAGCTGTCCTCAGTAACAGACTCCAAGAAGAAGAAGACCATACTAGATCAAGTAATCTTGCTTATGTGAAATAAGCCCCTAGCAAATATTTAAGACTGCCTTCAGATTATCTGTACCTCTGTCTGCTCCTGCTGTGCTGAATGTGTGCTTGGGCAGAGCTTTCCAGAGCAGGTGGGATGTGTGTTGGCAGAACAGCTGTGCCAGCTGCCCTAGTTGCACCATTGCTCCAAACAACGTGCACTAAGGTACAGCATGGGCTGTCTTCTCCTGGCCTCCACACAGGGGATTTGGCAAGCCCCTCAGAGGCTGAGTGAGGACTTTTGGGGATTGAAAAGGCTACGAGGCCACAGCAGTAGGGATACTTTAGGGAAGAGCTGGTCATAGATCGACAAAGGCTGCTGTTGCTGTTAAGAGTGCAGGAGGCTGGTTCTTCTGCTGGCGGATGGGATGAAGAAGCCATCCCTGGTTTCTACTTGTTGCGAGGGCCTGCCTTGACCTCATGGCTGCAGCCCTGGCTGCTCCTTGGGACCGCTCCTTCTGACTTCAAGTGGACAACGTAGTTGCGTTTGAGAAGCAGAAAGCCTAGAGCAGATGTCTCTCCGGCTGCTGCAGCAGCACCTTATTTTAGGAAACTAACATATGGTTCTTGCTTCATTAGTTTGTAGCTCTTTTACCACGGCTGCCAAACATGCCTGTAATGCAAACCATAGGGAGCAGCCAGGGCCCTAATGCGCTAAGCTAAAGAGATTTCCTACCCCCTGGAAGCCTGTGAGGAGGCGGGAGAGAGGCGGGAGATGCTCACCTCTGTTGAGAGGGCTCCACTTAAACGCTGTCAATCACAGTGAGAGGCCAGAGCAATCTCTCGCTTTATGTAACTGAGTTTTTCTAAATGCTTTGAAACTGTTTCCTATCAGCAATTTGAATTATTTAAATAAATCCTTCCATAGGCTGATTATAGTGCTCTTCTGCTGATAAAATTAATTATCCTCAGTGTACTACACTTTTTCAAGTATGGCGAGCTCCGTTGATGCTTACAGCAATGCTGCTGCCACTGGTGCTGATTTGGGACACTGTATATGGAATTTGGTGGGGTTTGGTGGTCTTGTTTCTCAGAAGCCCTTGATGCATGAAAGAAGCCTCCTAAGGGACTGCTCAGAAGAGAATCCTGGAATACAAAAAAAAATTAAAAATGGAATTTGAATCATCTTAATTAGCATCATATAAAAGGAGCAGTTGTCCCAGGAGAAGGCTTCTGCCATGAACATTGAAAAAAGTTGTTTTCCATCTAATGAAAGCATTTTTATTATTTGTATCCTGTTTGGGGCTGGGAGGGCAAGAAAGAAGGGGAATCAAACTTTCTTGAATGAGGTCAGCATTGGTGAAAGTGGTTTATTACTGGGAACAGTAGAAATTTCTCAAGGTATTTACTGCTTTCTTCTTCCTTGTCTCCCCTTTTCTTCCTGTGCATTTCACTCTTCAATTTTTGCTGTGCACAGATCTTCGTTTGGGAGCAAAATCTTGAACAGTTCCAGATGGACCTGTTTCGGTACCGCTGTTACTTGGCCAGTCTCCAAGGAGGGGAGCTCCCAAACCCTAAAAGACTGCTTGCTTTTGCCAGCCGTCCAACAAAAGTTGCGATGGGTCGTCTCGGAATCTTTTCAGTCTCATCGTTTCATGCACTGGTAAGTTTGAACAGAGGCCAGAGGTCGTCTTTGCCAACCTGCAAATTGCTTCATGTGTCCAGTGCTGAGATCACATTGACAAACAGCAGCCTGTGCCTGGGGGGTGAGCCCTTACCTTAGCGTGCAGAATACTGTGCTTTCTGAGAAGGGTGTGTGTCCTGGATATAGATCAAAAAGCAGGTGCTTGCAAGCTGTGGCCTTATGGAAGTGGAAGAACCATGTTTCTCCTAAACGTGCAATTTTGAATTTCTAAATCTGCACTGTAAACATGTTTTCTATAAACAGATCTTCCTGTTACAGGAGCAGGCTTATCTCTAACTACATGGGCTTGATCCAAAAGTCCAGTGAAGTCAATGGGGGCCTTTCTGAGGCCCTCAGCATGTGTTGGCTTAGACCTTCTTGGGCACTTGCTTTCTGCCATATGGATGAAACTTCTGACCAATTAATCCAATATCAGGTCTCCAGTGGTCGACACCTGATGCTCCACAAGGGAAGGGAAATGTTCTTCTCTGCAACTTATGGTGTGCCAAATAATGTTTAAAGAACAGTGGTTATTTAAATAATGTAACAACCTAGCTCCTAAAAATACAGGGAAATGTATTGCAAAGTGGTGGTTTTTTAATGAGTTTAAATCAAGTTCCTATAGTTTCGGCTTGGACTCCTGGAGCTTCACAGAAATAGCTGAGCTCCACTGTTGTCTTGTAGATGTCAGCTGTACCCTTCAATTGAATCCAGAACTGTAATTCAGTCAGAGGTGTTTTTATTCTTTTATATATGAAAAGATTAGCGTCATCATCCTGATAATTGCTGGTGAATTTATATTTTTTTTTAAGTGGCGGTTTGCAATTTGCATTTATGCTTATTTTTTTTTCATCTAGCAAAGCACTGAGTGTTAGCCTGAAAAACAGTCTGCCTCTTCATGCTGGTGTCTCTTGAGAGCCAAGCGAAAAAAATATGCTTTGAATATGTTGTGTTTGAAGAGAGACACGTGCTTTCTTTTCCTTTAAGCAAACTCTCGTGTCCTCCTTTGCCCTCAATAGCGTGGAGTTGGTGCAGTGAGTCTCAGGCTCGAGTTAGGTGCCGCATGGTGATAGCGTGGCACCCCTACCTGTCCTGAAGATGTTCCTCAGTACATTAGTCAGAGGGTGTGCAAGGTCTCCCAGGTGCCTCTGCACGAATGTCGCAGGCATAGCTAAGTCCGGGCTGTGTAATTGGAGATGCTTGCAGAAGTTCTCCTTCTCCGTGATTTCTCCGCATTTCCCATGGAGAATCACCATTACTCATACAGCGACCGTTCCCTGGGTACACAAGCCAGCCTTCTGTTTGTCCCATCTTTATATGAGTTTCTCTATCTGCTGCACCCAACCAACCAGTTTCTCAGCTCCATAGCTTGGGGCATCACTCAGAGATTTGGGTGTTCCCACTGGGGTTGCCAAACGACAGTCACATTTTGCTAGTTTCAGCTGTGGGAATCCAGTACAAAGGTGTTACAGGAAGCATAGAGCCAAGTCGGCAGGGTGGGTCTGTCTGTCTGTCTAGCTTTGCCTTGTGCTCCCATTCATACCTGCCATCTCCTACCACTCCCTTTTTTACAGGAGAGGAGCTCACCACCTCCACATGGGAAATCTGCTTAAACCTTGGCCTAAACACTTAACCTCTGACAAATGTCGCACTGATTGCTACCAGAGCTTCCTCATTTGGGAAACATTCCCCAGATATTTGGTCTTAGTAAAGGCAAATATCTTTTTGCTCCAAAGGGGTTGCCACAGGCCATTTTTCAATTACCCAAGTGGTTAACACTGCTGTAATCAAAAGGGTCATTTCAGCTTGCTTTTTTTTTCTTCCTGTGTTTTGCTCACTCCTTCAAATGTTGCTATATTTAAGGAAGTGCAGGTTTTAAATGCCTTGACCTATTCGCATGCCTTTATCTGGCCTTGTCACAGTTCTGAGTCAGTTCCAGGATGCCCAGGGTGCTTCCACAAGAAAGAGAAAAGGGAAAGACTGGGCTTTTTGAAAGCAGCAGATAAGTTTGGAAATCTCAGGTTTCGTGTGCCCAGCTTTGAAACCTTGTTAGGAAATAAAAAATAAGAAAAAAAATCCCAAACCTTTCACTGGTGCTGAGGCTTTTCCCTGTGATGAGTAGGCTGCTTCAAAATATCTGTTTAAATGTCAAAAATGGAGGGAGGAGAGTACTGTCCCTTTTAATTTTTGATGTTTGATGTTGGAAGAAGAGAGTTAAATTGCAATGGCAAGGACATAGCCTGGCAGCATCACCACTGTCCCTGTTGTGAGTACGCATTATTGCCATAGTATTTGCCTTTTTTTAAAAACCCGATTCCACTGTTTGCTAGATTATGTAAGCCATGGTATGGTGGGATGCTGCAGCCTTTGATTTCAAAACCATGTGGCGTTGACAGGTGGCGGCTCGCACAGGGGAGTCCGGAGTGAGGAGAAGGACGCAGGCCATGTCCAGATCCGCCAGTAAACGGAGGAGCAGGTTTTCTTCTCTTTGGGGACTGGATACTACCTCGAAGAAAAAGCAAGGGAGGCCAAGCATTAATCAGGTAAGTGTGTGGGAGCTTGTGATACTGTTATTTTCAAGGTTTATTTGTTAGTGTGCAGAATGCAGCTTATGCAAAGAGTCACTTGCATCAAGCACTTACACACCCAGCCTTAAACTTGCCTGTTTAATCTTTCACAGTGTGTAGTCATTGCATTCCACATCCTTTTCAAAAACCAGTGGCTTTCATTACAGATAAGTATACAGCAGCTCCTGTTCAAACGAGGTTTGGAGTGCACACCTTCTTTAGCTGAATTGGTTGCATTTCTACCTGTTTTGCATTTCTGCTGTGTCTGCTCAAGGTAATTTGCCTAAATTGAGGAGTAACAAAGCAGCAGTGTAAAACAGGTACAGCTTGGGAAGAAGAAGAAAAAGTGCAGACTTTCTTTAAATTAAAAGTATGAGTTTGTAGAATACTTTAAATGTAACTGAGTTTGGGGAGACCTTCCTAAAGTAACAAAAAGCTTTGTATTTAGTAGGGACAGTCCCTGTCTTGCGTCAGATTTTTAAAAAAACGAAAGCTGGAACGCTTCCACCCAATCACTGCCCAGATCTTTCTCTAGAAAACATGTTTCAGTGTGTTGGGAAGGTGCTTCCCTGTTATTCTTTCCAAACATCCCTAATTACAGCTTTCAGTTTTTGAGAGTCATACCTCATCTAATTGCAGGAAATGTAGGCTTTGCTTTTCTTTCTCTTCTTTCACTTTTTGATGGGAGAAAGGCTCAGAACACATGTTGTTCTGTGCCCTGTGATTTCTTCTTCCTTCTGTTGAAGCTGCAGTGGGTGTTTGTTTTGTTTAGCAGAGGATGAAAGCTGCAGAATTGTTTAGCTTGTTTTTAGTGAGACACTGAAAGTTCACCTAATATTTAGTGGCTGAGCAAAAGCTCAGGGTTTTGCTAGGAGGCAGCAGATGCCTCTGTGAGCACATTCTCAATTCGTTGCACTGGTGCTGTGGCATCGTTGTTGCTTTGTACTTATTTTCCCCAAATGAAGCGCAATCCCTTGTCCTGAGCTAGGATCCTGCCCATGCTGTGTCTTCAGACCTGATTTTTTCCTTCCTGAATTCACCTTTTTTTTTTCTTTCAGTGGAGATAAATGCATTCTTCACGCTTCCTCCCCCTGCTCCCACCCCTACCTCCCTCACTCCTCAATTAGCACAGGCATGAAAAGGGATTTTGTGCCAGGTTAAAGAAAAGTCATACTGGGGAAAGTCAAAGAAAAAGTTTTGAGAAAGTAGGAGAATGTCTAAATGTACTGTCTGAGCACTCTTCCCCTGCTCGTGTGTAGTAGCATGCAAAGTATTGCCACGACGCAGCAGTAAGCTGTAAATCCTGAAAGGGCAGTCAGCTCCCATCCTGCGTGGTCCCTGCTTTACCTTAGGTGTGGAATAGTTAACAGCCAAACCCAGCAACTCAATCATAAACTTGTGCTGGTGTGGAGCTATAAAACTTCACTTTTTAGTTTTAATTATAAGCTGCTGCTGCAGTAACAACCCTGTTTGCCCATCTGATGCAGTCCTGTGCTGATTTGGGGTGGATCCTGTAAATACTCCCATTCTGTTGCTCCTCCTGCATGGAGGATTTTTGACTTTCTGGCTCCTGCTGGATTGCCAGCTCTTATTTCGTTAAGGAAGGGTTACGCTGGCTTGTGGCACTTGAATGTTTGCGAAGTATTTTTTGGAAGCTGGTTTATTACAAAAACAGCCAGCAGTGCAGCCCATATGGTTTCCCAGCCTTAGCAGAAGTGGAGAAATATTCCCTTCTTCCACTTTATAGATGGGGAAACTTAGCACAAAAGGAGATAAAATTTGTCCACCTCTATCAAGTCAGTCAGTCAGTCAGTCACAGACCACTAAGCAGAACTGACCTCTAATCAAGGTGCCCCATCACCAGCTTATCTTTCACCCCACTTTCCCTTTTAACAAGCTGATATTTTCTGTGTTTTGAGATGAATGCTTATGTTTTTCAGATTTATTTCCATGCTAGATGTTAGATACACTGTTCTCCTGTTAGCCTGTGCCTCAGACGGCACAGAGGCACGTTCATGTTTTAAAGCAGTCACTCTGTGTTCCTCAGGTCTTTGGTGAAGGAGTTGATTCAGTGAAGAAATCTCTCGAAGGAATCTTTGATGATACGGTCCCAGATGGCAAGGTAAAACACCAACTCTCCAGCCGCCTCCTTCCACCCTGTTTGCAGCCTAAATGCAGCATGGACTCTGGGACCCCCAGACAGGAGAGCACCCTCTGCATGCTGTAGGGCTGTTAGCCACTCTGGGAGGGTTTGAGCTGGTGGCCCACGGTCAAAAGGGCTCGCTGCATGTGGCAGCTGGAGGTGCCAGACCCAGAAGGGTGCTAAGAGGCACATTCTTCAGGTAGTGAATATAGGTTTAGCTGTGTGAGCCCACTTACAGCAAATAGGGATTCTGCAGCTCCATCACTTTTTAGGGATTTGTAGCTTTGGAGTGCAACTTGGATGTATAAAAGACAGTAAATTCAAAATAAATGCTAAGATTTGCTATTCTGCCGTTTCTACATACAGGAAACTGTAGCATTTGCAACAGTTTGGTTGGCCTTGGATTGGTTTACCCAGAAACACAGTGCATTTAGGTTTTAATTTCGAATCTCTTTTTATCATTGTTATTTTTTGTGGCATTCCTAGAATTCTCAATAGCCATAGGGTAGGTGAAATCCCAGGAAAAGCGCACTGCATCAGTGTAGCTTTGTGGGTGGCATGGGAAGGCACACTTCATACTGCTCAAGTAAAACTGCAAAGTTTTCCTGTCCAGACAAGCCTTCAATCCAGGCTTATGAATAAAATGTCTTCTCTATAAGAGGGCTTTTTCATACAGTTTATAATGTTCCTTGTTGATGAAAAGGAAGATTGTATTTGGCTGGTAAAGTCATAATGGATTTTGTCTATTTTAGAGGGAGAAAGAAGTGGCACTGAGCAGTGTCCATCAGCACAATCCCGACTGTGATATTTGGGTTCACGAGTATTTCACGCCGTCTTGGTTCTGCCTGCCGAACAACCAGCCTGCTCTGACAGTCATCCGTCCTGGGGACACCACACGAGATGTGCTGGAAATGATTTGCAAGGTAAAGGCTGCAAGCGTGCCCTGGAGCAGGGTGAAGTGTCTGCAACCCCAAGCCCTTTCGGTTGAACCTCACGGTGACTTGCTCATCTGTCAGTGCTCTGACTGTTGGGGGTTTGGTTGTATGTTAGGTGAAAAACATGAATTATACTGAATTGCTTATGCTAGCACCACAGCTGGAGCTAACCCTGGCATGGGTGTAGGGAGAGGAAGGCAGGCTAGTTTTTGCCCTTTCCATTCTGGCCGCTGTGCATGAGCCTCTGAAGTGCCTTCACACTCTGCCTCTGCTGCCACCTCTCACATACTCACCCACCCACTCCCCCTTCACTGGAGACCCAACTGTGTGCAGGACCCTTCTCTCTCCCTCTGCCCCCCAGCATCCTGGCCCCAGCCCGCTTCCTTTCACTGGACACCCCCTAGCATGGTAGTGCAGTTGCCCTGTCCTCACCTGACCATCCTGATTCCTCCACCTCTGCCGAGTCCTCCCGTGGCCCCTTCCCTCCTCCACCAGGCAAGTGGGGTGATCTCAGCCTTTCCCAGGTGCCAGGCTATCCTGTTTCCAGGTGCCATTCCTCCTTCCTTCCCCCTGCCTCTTCCTCCCCTCTGGCTGGCACGGGGGATGAAGACACGGAGAAAACAGCAGCACCAGGAGCAGGTGCCTGTGTTTGCTATCTCTATTGAGGAGTCAGACTCCCCTCATGTAGGTGGCAGGAGGGAAGAGAGAGGAAAGCTTTTATCTGCATTTGGGGGGAGTGGGAGAAAAACCACCTGGATTTCTTTTCAGGATGGAGTATCAGAAACATTTGGCCATTAAAAAGAGTTATATCTCAGCAGAGAAGCTGAAAGCTTTGACAAATTAAATACAAGCTTTCAGTTCTGGCAGCCACATAATGTATGTTTTCCGCTAACTGGCTGACTGCAAGCTAGACCCAACTCGCGTCACGTGCTGTTCTGAAAAGCGAGTCCTCTTCTGTACAACAACAACAACAAAAGAAAAGAAAATATTGCTGTTAAGAGCTTAACTTTTTGGACTTTTAGAACATGTTGCATGTGCTTGCAAAGAGAGGGAAGGTGAAAGAAAGGCATTTGTTTGCAATAATTATACAGTGTGCTCGTCTCTCTGCCAGGTGCACTATCAAAGAGTGCTGTAGCTTGTGAAAGCTCTTCATTGTATTCAGGAAAAGATGACATTTTTGGAGAGGGACATAACAGGGAAGCTGGATGACACATCATTAGTAATGATTTATTTTTAGGATTTATATTTTGCTTTGGGTAAGAGTGATTAACTCGGTGGGCCAAATCCTTAGCTCGAGTAAATTGGTGTAGCTCCACCAGTTTCGGCAGGTGCCTGCTGAGAATCTGGTCTCTCCCTGTGTGTTTGATTGTTGTGGGCGGTGCTGTACAAGGAGAAGGGGAGGTGGGTGAGTGTTTGTTTTTGGAAGAGCTGTTATTACCTGTTTCTTTCCTTTCTGTAAGAGTTTTCAGTCTGGAAAGCACTGATGGATGCCTTCTTTTCTGTACCATTTAATAATCAATCTCTTTCTTCTGTCTCTTGCATTCAGCTCATTTTTTCCCCTTTAATATCTGATCCACATCATTTCACATCAGTTTGCCATCTGCCATCTGCGAACCAGTCAAGTTCTGGTATAGTAAACATTTCGAGATCTACATTTCATATAAACCTCTTCATGCTTGTAGATGTGGCTAAATCTGTCTGTGCTATTAAACTGAGCTTGATTATTCTGTGGGAGAACACTAAGTGCACTCAAGTAATGGTAGAAAATGTGTTCTAATACTAACATTGCTGCTTGTTATTCTATGGCGAGTTGGGTTTTGGAGGCTGCTTTGTGACACTTTCATGATTCAAGATTGGTGGGAGGAGGATTTAAAGCATATTTTAAAGTGGTTTCTTGAAGATTTCTCCTAAGATTTAACTAATAACTTCAATTGATAAGCAGGAAAAGTCACTGTATATATATTAGATTATTTCCTATGGATAATACTGATCAGTGCGAACGTATGTATTTGTATTACTAACATTTGCAAAATGGTGCATCTTAAGATTGAGTAGAAACACACACACTGTATATGGATTTAGACAGAGCCAGAATGAGAGAAAAGTACCAAAAATGAAGCATAGAAGACTACATGGCATTTAGTATTTTGACTGAACTGGATAAAAAGCGAGAAGCAGAAAAGGTTCTGTTTTCTCACAGTTTCCCTTTTTCAAATGCAAATAGACCAGCACGAAGGACAAGAAGCAGATTTCCCCTAGACCTCTGGATCTGTGCTCGAAGTCTCTGAGAAGTTACTTAAGCCTGACGCTTTGCGAGCTTACTTTGATTTTGAGCTGGTGTTTTCCTACCGAACAAGCTTGGGCCACACAAGTGCAAAGCCAGAGTAATACGGTGGGATGGCTGGCGTGTTTCTGTGATGCTGTCATTTCAGCGCTAATGCAAGTCTCCCCCAGCAAGCTGAAAGAGTATGGTTTTTCCTGTATCTCCTGGCCTTCTGCTAAGGCAGGTGGCACTCAGGGGAGTGACGAGCTCAGGTGGGTCTTGGATCAGGCTGCATGGTCCTCTGGAGGTGCCTGTCCCTCACTTTAACTAGAAGAGAGCCGAAGTGAATGAACAGTTCGGGCTGTGTGCCGACCTGCTACACCACACAGAGCCTGTTGGATCGGATCACGTCTCAGTAAATTCTTGAGATCACATCAGTTAAACTGTCAGGTTCTGCTTTAAATTGGGTTAGCTGCATAATTTAATCCAGACACAGCTAGAGTTATTAGGAGAGAAATAAATAAACTGAGAAGCTGATTTGGACTGCTGAAAGGTATTTTGGGTGGTCTCGAAAGGATGTTAATATCATTAAAGCTTCCCTGTTTCTGCTCCCACCTTCCTGCATATGGATACAGCTAGAGCAGCAACAAAAAAAGTGGGTTAATGGTATGGCTTTTTAGGACAGACTGGCTATGCTTGCTTGAAAAGGACCTTTTCCTTTCACTTCAGTGCAAAATCATGCCTCTATTTGAAACAATTTAACTACTGTAAAATTTCAAGGTAGGCAAAGCCTTACTGCAGCCATACAAATGTTAATTAACTAAATGATGTGGCTTATGTGCTGCGCCATCACAGCTTTAATGGTGATGACTCTCGTTTCCTGACTTGGATGGGATTGCAATGTCGTGGATGAATGGCACCACCTCGGCTGGTGGTGCTTCTTGGAAGAAGTGAGTGGCTCAAGATATATGTGAGTGTTATCCAGTGACCTCTTCAGACCATGCTGTGCTCTGGCATAGTTCACTGCTTCAATGCAGCATTGGTTGTCTTGCGTATGGCTCCTTCCTGCTCTCTAAAATGGCCAGCAGACACCATTTTCCTGTAAGCAAATTTCCCTGCGAAGACAGAAGTGAAAATGGAGGCGTCGGTGCTCACCTCCATGCCTGATGCACTGCCCATATCAAAGCAGGCATCAGCCCTGTCATTGACCACTGGGATGGTAGATCAAGCCATCGCCTGTGGGGAAGGTTGCTCTTTTAAGATGCTATCAGGGTGCAGGCTGCAGAGCGGGTTGCAGGCAGGTATGAGTGCACCCTGCCCCTGCCCCAGGGTGGGAGGTAGCTCTGAACTGGTGTTGGTGTTGCGGAAGGGTGATGGGCTCCCTGCCCTGTCAGGGCAGCCAAAGAGGCTCCTGGCCTGTGCCCAATGGCTGGAGGCCCCACACTGGGTAAATTCACATCCCTCTGGGACAGGTCATGATTACTGTTGGCCTAGGGCAGGCTGGAAAACATCCCTTTGGGTCTCCTCTGCAAGGAGGGGATGTGCAGAGTCACTACTGGGAGTCACATGAATACCTGGCTGCAGACGGGGGCTGTTTCCCAACCCTGGGCTTTAGTCGATTACAGGTGTTTGTACTTGTGCGCATGTTAAAGAGGAAACTAGTGAAAATGGTCAGCAAACAATGAGCAAAGTGTGCAAAATACTTATCAAAAATAAGAAAAAAATGGGATAGAGCAAGGATCTCCTACTGTCAGCTCTTTTTATTTTGGCCCTTGATAGATTTCAGATTCCTTATTTAATTAACTAGGTATTTGTCTGGATTATGGAGGTTATTCCTCAATTTCACGTAAGGATAATTTGGTCTTTGAATTGGACAGATTTGGACATAGCGATACATAGAGTGCAGCAATAGACCTGTCGTCTTTCTTTTTTTCTCCCTTCTTATTGGTACCTCTTTTTTACTCATGGGCTAATGCAGACTTCCGAAAATGCTCACTGTTCTCTGCGTATTTGCTGAAGGGTTTGCTAGGTCAGTGTGTGATCTTTTCCACAGGTCACTCGGTGTACATTACTCATCATCTGTGCTGCATGATCAGTCAGCTGATTCCTGGTGTATCATCGCCTTGGCTTGAACTGGATAAGCGAGGCTTTAAAAAACATAATAAATAGGCAATAATTATGTTTTTCCAAGAATTTTAAGACGAGCCATTGTTTTTAGTACAACCTAGGAAACTTTGGTAATTTGCTCGTATAAACTGAAAAGGCCAATGTATAAAAGCATATAATAATGGGATTTCAAAAGTGACAGTGAGGGGAGTTTACCTCCTGTATTTGTGAATCACTTTGGGTTTTTCATTAGCTTTAGTCAACACTTTACAAACTTTGAAAGTAACTTCTGAATGACATCCTTTGTGTTTATCATTATTCTATGTGTTTGATTACACACTGCATTAATCTCTGCTTAAATCAAGCTTATTAATCATGCTGAGAAAAGGTCATTAACATCTCCCAGACCAAATGCTATACCCTCAGCTAATTATAACTAATTCATTAAAATGGTGTGACCTGTTTCCACTGGGATGTGTTCCAGTATGCAACTCTTGACTTCTTCAAGCCTTAGAAACCCAGCCTATCCTGAGCTGTTTTGAATTTAGAGGACGTACAGATTTTTTCTTTATATAACCTTGCTTGAAATTTACCACATCATACTTACTCGCTAAATTAGGAAGATGCTAAAAACCCCAAAACAAAGAGAACAACTTTCCTGTTACATCTTTCTCTGTTAGCCGAACATTTGTTTTCCTTCTTGCGATTTTAAATGCTCGTCGTATACAAAGGTTTGCTCTGAGTCTTCTGCTGTAATAGTGTTTGCTTATTTCTGCAATAGCATGGGAGGAGCAGATCTGCCAGATAAGGAAAACCAAAGAGACTGCTGAGAGTACCAGCACTGCCCTTGGCATCCTGGTCAGTGGTTAAATGAACACTTATTTTTGGGGAAGAGGAGGAGGTTCAGGTTCTTGTTCAGGTTAGGAGGTCATGGGCCTCTTGTGAAAGACGGTGCTGAGGCATCCCCACCTTTTTGTTGCTGCGAGTGTCAGGCTGTTCTCTAAGTACAGATGATGTGAGCCATTGGTTTTCTCTTCTAAAGCCTCTTCTCTGTTTCTTGCAGACGCACCAACTGGATCACTCTGCTCACTACCTGCGTCTTAAGTTCCTGATTGAAAACCAGATTCAGTTTTATGTACCAAAGCCAGAAGAGGATATCTATGAACTGGTAATGCTACCTACTGAGCAAAATTAAATGACACTTGGTAGGACACTATTAATTAGTGTTTATCTGACATTGTAATATGCAGAGTTATGCTTTTTAACTTGCAATTATAGTGCTTTGCAGGCCATAGCAAATTGGCCTACAGTAAAGTAATCTCTCCAGACATTTCATTCTGAGGAGAGAGTTGGTGTTTAGTTTATGTCTGTGTGTGCATGTGTCTGTGAGGAAGAGAGAGAGGAGGAACAACCACAGGTAAGGTGTGAAAGTCACTGTGTGAAAGTCATCGTAACATACATTTAAGCTTAACTTCTCTCAGGGTTGCCTTTTCCTGTTTTTCATATTGTCCTTGGTGGTTTTAAAGTCATAGTATTGAGGCCTGAGTACTTCTTTTTTGGATCACTTTGCCAGATTTTTAAAGAGGGTAGAAATGCACAAGTGGTTGGATTTTTTGTTGTTGTTTGTTTGCCTTTTTTTTCCCTAAATGCAAAGGTAAACATTGAGGTTAAAAAGCTCTGTGGTTATGTGTGAGACTATACTTTCCTAATTGCTTCAGATGGATGTTTTCATATCATTAATCTCAAAAGCAGGCTTCAAAAGAATTTTGAAATGAGAGATTAAAAAAAAGACCAAACAGAATTCGTGTCATGCTTTAACTCTATGATTTTACACATGCATGCTATAAAGCTTTTATAAAGTCCTTTTCATTGGTGTCTGTTTTATTTATGAAAAGTAAAACTTTGCCACTTATGGATGTTTTTGTTCATTTAATGAAGAAGTTCTGGGATTTGCCATTAACACTGCCAACGAAAAAAAAAGAGCGAGAAAGTGCTAGTGGAGTGCTAAGACTGGGAAGTGAAATATAGTTCAGAAAAATTAAAACTCAGAGGAGACAGATCTTAGCTCTCCTTGCCTGGAAGGACTTGGATGACTCGTCTTATGTTGAGAGGATGTAGAATTGACATAGTCATCAGTTGTTGTTTGTTCTGAAAAAATGGAACTGAACCAAAACTCTGCAGTCAGTGGGACTATGGAGGTGCTGAAAGATTATGATATAGATAGGTGCTGCGGGGTTATATCTAATGTAGTAACTTTGCAACAACACACATCTGTATGTTTGTTTGTTTCGTGAGGAATAATTGAGTTACTTTGAGTGTTTATTTAAAAGATTTTGGTGCAGTATGGTAAAACTAATGCCTCTATTTTTGTAGGCTTCTGAGGAGCTGTTCATAATACTGCCTAATGTTGATGTCACCTTGCTAGAGCTACCTTCCATCTACTAAAATGCTTTTACAGACATACATTACTGCAGAAACGTAATATCTTAGGATTATACTCCTTTTTGTTGCAGAATGTGTCAGATATATTTAATCAAGAAATGGAGATTAAATATCCATATTCCATTCCTATCCAAAACATTAATGGTGATGCTTTGTGCACTGACACAGTGTTACAAAAATTCATTAGCTCAGTTTATTATATGTTAAAAATGTTACTAAGGGCTCAGAGGAGAGTATTTAACATTAGGTGCTGTACCAGACAGTTATACTTTTAAGCACCTTTTACTGTAAGTTAAGTGTTGGAGTGTTTTGGCTGAAGCTTGGTGTGCCAGATTTTTTGCTATGGGTAGGATGGCACTTTCAGATGGAAGCAAGAGACCAGAGGCTTCCCCGAAAATGTTGCAGGTAGTATGAGGCTAGGGAGAAGGCATTGCGGCTGCTGGAAAAGATAGCCCTGGGAAAGGGTGCTGGGACAAGACCAAAAGTAGTAGGAGGAAAAAGGGCAAGGAAGAGACAATCTTGAGATGGGGAGAGGGGAATATCCCAAAGCTGCCAGGAGGAGCACTGTGGGGGATTGTAGTGGCTCAAAGGGGCAACGCTGCTATTCTCAGGAAGAAATCCTGTTCCTGGGCACTCCCTGGTGCCTAGCAAACCCCCTGGGATGCTCCTGATACTGCTATCAAACCTCTTCATGCAGAGCCCCAGGCCTGGTGCTGGGTCCATAGAGGGAGCTCCTCCATGAGCCTGTGGTCCCTGTGATGCTGGCAGCTTCACGGCACGAGGCACCATAGCCCAAACACGCTGCCTGCCTCTGGTGTTGGGACAGTGGGTCCACGGGGCACAGAAATGTAAGCAGCTGCTGTGAGACTGGCTCTCTGATTTGGGCAGCCCAGCTGCAGTCTGTGCAGCCCAGTTATTTGCCTCCTGTTCGACAGAGGTTCTTGCTTGAAAACGCGCTCTGGGATGCAGGCAGCACGTGGCTCCCGTATCCCTGTGAGAGCACATCAGCCGTCCTTCTTGGTTCTCGTCCTGCATGCTCAGTTTAGGTAACTGCAGGGATCAGACTCAAGTTTTGTTCTGAAAATACTGCCAGTTTTACTCCTTTTTTTAATCCTTCTTTTTTTAAAACCCTTGCTGAAATGAAGCTGAGATTTTTGCAAATGTCATTTGACTCTTTTTCAGCTTCTGAGTAATATGTTCCAGTATTTGAAAACTGCATTTTAAAAATATTGCTAGCATAACTTCCTTATTTAGTTTTACATTTTATTTCACTGTCTACAGCCATTTAAATAGGTATGTAACTTTCTGTAATACCTAGTATCTGCAATTAAACAGATGTGTAAGTGCTGATACAAGCAGGAGATAAAATACTGTTTTTATTACAGAAACTCTTTACTAATGAGTTACTCTTCTTTTTCAAAAAATGGTTTAAATACCTCAGTCCAAACACTGATGCCACTTAGTTACAAGATGTTAATTATTGTGAATTGCTTTTTTACACACTCATACCAGCATGTAAACAATATTAATATTTACCTGTGGGCTTTCATTCACCTGTGGGTATGATTTTTTCCAGAGACAAAATGATGGTTTGGTTACTTAAGTGCTAGCCTATGCTATGGTAAAAAAACCACTTTCAAGCCTCAGCTGAGCCAGAGGTTTGCAGAGTGGCAAGGCTGTCTTACAAGGAGTAAGTCAGGGCTGAGTATCAAAAGCTGTCAGCTCAGAACCCCTAATTATCTGGTCTGGGTGACTTTGTCTGAAAGAGCAGCATTTCCCTGGCTCAGGTGGGGTGACAGGTCCCAGTACTCTTACATCCCAGGCTCTTTTGTTTGAGCTCAGGGCAGGACCCGGGTGCAAGAGCAAGGCACACAAGACAGGAAAATGGAAGTGATTTAAAAGCACGAAATGTGTGAGCTGTGGTGGAGGGTGTAGCCCTGCTGAGGGGTTATTTGGCTTCCGAAATGCAGAGTGAATTGCACCTGCATGCACAGGCTTCTGGGTTATTGCCTAGGAGTGAATTTTTGCTGGTCTTCCAGGAAGGATGCTAATGACCAGCTTTTCTGGGTACAAATAAATGTGTTAAAGACAAAATGTCATGCTAAGAAAGAGCAGCATATCAAATCAGGTAGTCTTCTAATAATTAAGAAATGTATTTGAGAAACAGAATCCCTCTTTGTGATTTTAATACTGCAAATAATTTAATTCCTTCTTAATCAAAATAATATAAAAATGTTAAGTGATGACTACCCATAAAATATGAAAAAATAAATAGAAGCTCGGTTCCATGTGCAATCAAAATGATATTGACTGAGTGAAATAGATGTGTCCTTGCTTTTATGTTGGCAGTAGTAAAACCCTGCTTCCTCCTTCTTAAGTGTGTTCTACCAGTAAAGCATAGTGGCACTACTAATACATCTCACACATGTAGAAAAACTGTTTGATAAATAATTACCACAGTCCATTTTGTCTGTCTGTAATTAAAAAAAATCTGTTCAGAATGATTATACTTCATGTGTCCTCTTGCAGTAACATATTTTTGTGGTTTTTTGTTTATATTCAGCTGTACAAAGAAATAGAAGTCTGTCAGAAAATTACACAGCACATTCAGATAGAGAAGTCTGATACATCGTCTGATATCTATGGTGAGTTTCTCCTTGAGTGGTTTTTTACTTTTCTACCAAGTCAGTTCTAGTGTGTGCAGGTTCCTGCTTGCTATTCATTGCTATACCTGAAAGGCCTGTTGAACACAATAAGAAAAGCACATCTGATTCCTGTGCCATCCACAGAAAGCTCGCTCCCCTGCCCTTAAGCGGGATAGCTTTATTTGTAGTGCTCTGAATGCTGTTTTTCCTAGTGCTGGAGCTGTAGGATGTGCAGCTTTTTGGTGAGAGCTACAGTGGCAGAAAGGACAGATTTTCTCTTGATCTTGTAGCTTCTCAAAACGCCACCCTGCAGAGGCTGTGCAACTGAGCGCCGGTGGAAAACAGCATCCTTTTCCAGTTGTCACATCCTACGTGAATGCCTGCCTTGTGTTCACGGGGGCTCTGCAGCAGGATTTGGGATAGGGTTGCCACTGTGGCTTGCTGCTGCTATCAGGCTAGGAGGCTTTCCCCCTCCTCACTCCTTCCACCAGGCGTGATGGCAGGGGTGCAGCCAGGAGCATTGCCATGAGTGGGAGGCATCTCGAGGTCTGCAGCTGGGTGTCTGTCCCAGGAGGAGCTGCTCAGCCCCTTCTCCACCGGCTGGGGCCACGGAAGGTGGGTCCCTGTCTCGCCCCGACGTTTCTGAGGCTGAGAGAGCCTGGCCCTAGTGCACAGCCAGCCCCCAAGGATGCTGCATGGTCTCCTGGAACCAGAATCTGACATGTCATACAGACACTAAGCAGGGGAGGTGCTCCCTGTGTAATTTCAGCAAAATCCTTAATCTTTACATGGGGGTGGACATATTTCTTAGCTTTCAAGTATTTCAAGTTACAGACCTCCCTCCTGGCGAGTTTGCCCTTTGGTCTGGCAATTACAGTTCTGTAGTGTATTTTAAAGTTATTTTTGCAACCTACCCTGCGGGAAGCTAATCTGCATCTTTTTTAGTGTTTATCTAAATATTCTGTTTTAATGACTAGAATAATTCTGAATCCCCATACTGCTTATTATACAGCTGCAGGCCATTTGAATATTGAGCTCTGCTACAAAGCAGTGGTGCTGACTGCGGTTTGAATATTGAAGGCCTAAGAAAGAAATATTAACTAGCACAGCGATGGCCCTAGGTTCAATAATTATGCTGTGCCTGAAAGCACTGCAAGAATTACGGGCATTGTGGCATTTCCTGTTTTTCTTCTCTCTTTTTAAGTGATAGATGGGAAAGACCGTGAAATGCACTGTCATGTCCTGTGAAATGAGATCAGTTGTGTGAGACATGGGACGTGTCTGTTCAGCGGCTCCGACCCTGCAGGGAGTGAATGCGAAATGCACCCCAAAAAAGCTGACTTTGCTCTCATTGAAAGAAAGTGGCAAAACCTACTTTGACTCTAAATGACAGCAGAATTTCTGTAGTCTGTATGTGTCTCATAGAAACAGTACTGTGTGCTCATACAGGGACAAGTGTGTGCTGAAACACCTAAGTGCAGGGGAGAAGAGGTGAAGTGTTGATCCTGTCTTGGTGCTGGGGAAGGCTAGGGTTCCTCCTGAGATCCTTTCCCATCCTGTATGTTAGGTACTTTTGAATTTTTCATTCTTTTAGTCTCTTTACAGAGTTAGCCTTGCCAATACTTACTTGTACAATCCAGAGAGAAAGTTACAGCGCATTTACAGACCATGGCAACACAAAGATCAGAGCTTTAAAGTTTCAGCATAGGTTGTTTTTCACAGGGTTGCTTAAGGGTTCTTGCTACTGGTTTTGTTTTGAAAAGAACCTAAATCAATACTATGATGGCACAGTCTCCAAGCATCTAAGCACCTACATGAGTCTTTGTGTAAGCAGGGCTGCCTTTGAGGTTGGCTTTCAGTCAGCCGGGCAGTGCTTGGGGCTCAGCCCCACACAGGCACGTCAGCAAGTGCTGGGAGCAGGGTCAGGAGCCAGCAATGTCATGCAACTAACGTCTGGGATGCTAAGGGACTTTTTATTCTGATGATTACTTGTTTTTTTTCTGCAGCTTTGTTCAAAGCCTTCTCATTGCCCATTTTAAAAACATAAGCCAAAATTCTCCGTGCCTTGATTCCTCCAGAAGAACTACAAAAGTCTTAATTTTGAAAATGGGTGAGATTATGAAAATCATTAGTGACATTACCTGTTGCTGTTGGTAGTATTCCAGCTATAGCAATAATAATACTTGTAAATCACCTCGAAATTTCTAGATACTTCGCAAGCAGCTATTCATTAACCCCAGCAATGTAGACTTAGTGCTGTTATCTCCATTTAACAGACAAGTTGTCAAAGATACAGAGGTGAAATGCTTTCACTGAGGGTGCAATTAAGACAGGCCAGTTCAGCTCACTAGCCTGGCAGAAAGATAATAAAAGAAGAGAATAGCTGTCTGCTGGCTTTGCAAGCTGTCTCGGACCAGCTAAGTGATCCTGGTGCCAGAGAGGGGGGAGAGCTGCTCCTTCAGGCATTAGCAGGCCTTTGGAGCAGCTTTGCCATCTTGCCTGAGCGCACCATGAGTTTGAGTGACATAAAGAGGATGGAGCAGAGCATTTCAGGAAAAGCTCAGCTGGGAACATTTTGCAGCATTTACACTTTCACCAGTGTGCCTGTGGTAAGAGGCACTTCTGGAGTGTCCGGCCAGTGTGCTAGACCTTGCCAGTGTTGATCTGTCCATGTGGTGCTGCTGCTGATGCCTGGGCAAATACGTTCTTGTCTCTTTTATTGGTACCAGCCTGTTTGCAGAGGTTGTGTAGGCAGAAATGAGGGCATAGCAGCAGTAGGAATCTACTGCTTCCAGCTGCTGTATGTACTGGGAGCATGCTGCCATTTTTGTTAGCTACTATCTCTGGCAGGAGGCCGAGGTAAGTTTCTGGAAGTGAATTTGTTCAGGTATTGTGCTAGTTCAGTGGGGCCATGTGCACTCATAGATGCAGACTTTGGTTGTGTCATCAAAACTTTGCAGTGAAGAAAAGTGTCTGTCTGGATCACCACCTGTCTCTTCACACCTGTCCTTCAGAGTCCATGCACAGTTTGATAATAATATTTTTGGCAGTGATGCCAGCTTATGCAATCACTGTTGCTTTCTCCCACTCCTGCCCTTCCTCCCATGCAGTGCTAGAACTAGTGTTTGTGTGGAGCACCTGAATTCAGCCAGATGGAAACTATACATTCATGCTATACGTGTGTATATAGAAACTACATACGCACACACACAGAGACACACACACACGCGCGACTGAGGTATTTCTCATCTGAATGTGTTCCCTGCTCTACTTTACTGCATGGCAGTGAAAGTACTGGCACAGGCACTGCAGTGGCACAGACATGCTGCTTCAAGTTGTTTATGAGGTCCAGCCACTATCACAACTGTGGAAATAAAACAGTTTATCTGTGCTTGGGGTATGGTCACACACCCTGTCTGCAGAAGGGTTAAGTGTATTTGCGAGATGACCATTTAATGGCTGTTGCCGGTTGCCCACCTCTCATCTCTTAAAGCTGATGACAACGCATGTAACTGCTCCTTACACCTGTTCTGGCAGTAATTACTGCTCAGGATTTATCGGAGTGTTTTTGACTGAAAGATGAATTAAAAAAGCAATGACATGTGCACTTAGCCCTGACAGATTGGAGGAGGCAGAGGTCTTCTCATGGAGGAGAATGGGAGCTTGGGACTGCTTGGGTATGCTAATCTCTTCCAAGTTAGTCAGAGCGAGAACTTGAGATGCAGCTCAGCCTAGCTTTAACTATATGGTCTTTGACTGCAAAACAGCATTTCACTTGCAAAAGGGTGATGGTATTAGCAACTGATAATTTGTGCTGACTCAAACTGCACTGTGCTTCTGGTGAAGGGTTTTCCAGGTGTGCTTTGTGGTTATGACAACCAATAACTACTTTATTTTACAGCTGCTATTTTGTTTAGTCAAGACTTTTTCTCTCTGCCAAAGTTGGTGTGTTAAGTGAGCTTCACAGATTTCATTTTATTCAGGCTGAGGAGCTCGCATACAGATTCCAAGTAGCTCAGTAAGTCATGAAGGGCCATATGCTCCTTGCTTCTAGGCTGCCACATTCTTCCCCCTCCTTTCTTTTCTTTCTAAATGATGGATGAAAAAAATAACTTCTCGTCCATAAGCATTAACTTGAAGGGAGTCCTAAAGTCAGAACAGGCTCCCAGCACATCTGCTTCTTCTTGGCTGGTGGCTGATTCCATGTCAAACAAGCGTTCCCCTCCAGAGGTTTGGAAATGTTTTTCTAGTCGGGGAAAAGAGAGAGCAAATGGTCGCCTACACCCATTTAGGGGGTAATGAAGTTTCAGAAAGGCAAATGTTCTCCTTTAGATAACTCTCAACTGCAAATAAACAAACCATATTTAACTAACCACATTGCATTTCCTTTACACATTGTTATCTTAGGTAGTGTCAAACACAAATGGCAAGAGAATCACCAAAACCAGACATAATGGTACCATTTGCACTGTTTAAATTAAGGCTGTGTCAGTACATCCATTATAAGACTGTTCTGTGGGTCTCTAATGTAGCTATGAAATGTGCGCTGAGCTGAGACTTGGCAAATACCAGGTTGTGCCAGGAGCAGCTGCGAAAAGAAAGGGGAAAAGGAAAAGTGGCATTTTTAAAAACTTGTCCAGTGCAGGAATTTCAAAAGTAAAAGCTGGCATTCTGCTTTAACAGGAGTCATTGTGCCGTGTCTGAGTTCAGGATGGCTAGGCAGCCATAGCTCTCTGTCTCCTGGCTTTTGTTGGTTTGGGTCACAAACCACAGCTCTCTGCAGCTTTTGACTGCAAACAGCAAAACTGCTTGAAGTGACCTTCTGTGGCAAGAGAATTGGAAGTCTGTTCCAACACTTTGCAGCTGTGGTATCCTCAAATAAAGCTGTAGATGATTTATATATAAACTCAGAAATTGAGTTCAGGTTTTTGTTAAAGCCACTTTCATTTTTTAACTTACCCATTACGTTTATAAAGGTTTATGAGAAAGGAGAAGGGAGGAATTCCTGACTGCTCGTTGCAGGGACAGCACAGCCTTAACTGTAGTATGTGCAGTTGTTAGGACACGCTGGAAGTGGTTGGGTTTTTCTAACCTTCTCACTGGGTATCTCCCTAGGTTTCTCTCTGTCCTCCGTGGAAGAAGAAGGGATTCGTCGTCTGTATGTGAATGGCGTCAAAGAGACAGGCCTAGCTTTCAAGAAAGGTAAAAAAGACTTTCTGAAGTGCTTTTGTTATTGTTTGTTTAATCCTGGTATAGACCATGAGCTTGTTGGGATAGGAGCTTTATGAACACACCAAACGAGGGTCCCAGTTCAAAAGAAACTATGGTCTTTTGGGAGGAACCTCAGGGTGTGAATACATAGCTGTTCTGCTCTTGGGATCAGCTATGCTATATAGTAAAGCTCTTAATTTTGAGTTGCTGTGTATGCAGTGGGATCAGCATGTCTCTTCCAGCTAGAAAGAGGAGCAGAGGCCCTCTCAAGTCAGTCACTGCAAGACAAAGGGGTACAGTAGAAGTCATTGTAGTGCTCTCTGTGGCTGGATTACTGCCTCTAGTTTTGCAGGAAGCGTGACAGTACTTGGACCAGACACTGGCAGAGATAACTGGGCTTGCTGGGCTCGTCCCAGGGCAGAGCAGGATATGGTTTAACTGCAGCTTGCCTGAGCTGAGGTCAGCCTTGACGCTGCCATGTCCTTACTGCTTTTCCCATTCATTGCCCTTTCTGATGTGCTGTCACTGCTGTTCATGCAGTCACGGGATGGGCTGCTCAGGGAGCTGGGCAGGTGAAACCTAACTGGATTTTAAAGTATAACATGGGGAGCATGAAGAGTGAGAAGACTCTCATCTCGTCGTAGCCTATCAGTATACGCGGAGTCCTCAAAAACACCTGCAATGTTTTACTGGTGAGTGGTTACATGGTTGTGTAGAGCTTATTCAACAGTTTCCTGTTGCCAAAAGCAATGGGGGCTGGTCTCCCCCAGACTGCTTCAGCCATTTGCTGTGTGCTGACTCTTTCTCTCTTAGCTGAGCTGATTCAGCACACTGTCCTGATAGAAAACTGCCATGGAAGAAATGCGTGGCTGGTTTTCTGACCTGCTAGAATGTGGAGTTGACTTAAGTTGCAGTGAAGCAGGTGGCAGAAGTGGCACAGTGGAGGGACAGGACTGTGCAGGTGGAAACTGGGAAGGAATAAACAGGGGGCAAAGGAGGGGAAACAGTTCTGGCTGCAGAGAACCTGGAGTTCCACTCAGCTGTAAACCATAACTTAAGAAAACCACATAGGTGGTTCTGGAGGCTGCTGTGTATGTCTGTAGAGCTTGAAAATACCATCTTTCTCTCCTCACCCCACTTCAGCCACATGCGATTCCCTGGCTGACAGCATGGGGATTTTGCCAAAAGCCCTGAACAGGGGCTGGGGGACGGCTCTCTGCCAGCCTGCACCAGGGAAATAAAACTCTGTGGGCTTCTTGTGGAGAGCAAAGAGAATATTTGGGGGTGGAGCGGTTC